GATGTAATCGGCGTTTTCGCACGTGGGCGGGCTTGACGCGTGTGTGGGGGCGGGGGACTTTAATTTTGTTTTTTTATTGCTTTGATATGTGATTTTTTTATTTGTAACAAATTTTTTTAAACCTTTTTTTTTTTACTGAACTTTATTGCTATCACATAGGGAGCAAGCAAGCTCCCTATGTGATAGCCAATTTGCAGTGACAGGTCCTCTGTATGGAGACATCAGGGGTCTTAAGACCCCTAATGTCACCTAGGGACCCTCAGAGAAGCTGATGAAGCAGAGACCTGCTTCACCAGCTTCTCTCCGTTTTCTGTACCGTTGAGTGACACTGAATCCAGGCAGTGATGTAATACACATCACTGCCTGCATTCAGAAGAGGAGAGGAGATGAAACGGAGCTCGTGTACTGAGCTCTGGCCGCAGAACTGCTGTGCTGGTCCCGGGCTCACACCGGGAACAGCGGAGCCCGGGATCGCCAGCGGCGGCTACGGAGGGGGGGGGCCCGCACACCCGACCGGATATTACAAGCGATCGGGCGTCTCTACAGACGCCCGAACGCTTGTATGTAAACAGCCATCGCTGGCTGTTTACATTCAAAGCCGGTTTCCCGCTCGTGCGCGCTGCCTAGCACGGGATAGGACGTCTAAAGACGCCCACCCGCCCTGAAGAAGCCGCTGTCCGGCCGTTTACTTACAACGGTCGGACAGCAGGTAGATAATGATAGCTGTGGCCCTTTGCTGCCATTGTTGGCTGTGTTAATGAGGTGTCCCAGGCCCCTGGAATATCCCAGGAAGCTGCAGGGACTCACAAGCAGCCAAACCTCTGTTGTCGTTTTGTGAGTACGAGTAGCCCTAGGTAACACTTGTCCACTCCGTTCTGCCCACTGGTACATAACCGCATATCTAACCCCCCCCAAATGTCATATATTGCAGCTTACCAATGTTTACATGAGGTGGCTGCATTCGTTTTCTTTCTACAGGCTTTTCCTGGCAAACAACACGCTTCCTGCCCCTTCATGTCTACACTCACTCCCCCATGGTATCTATAGAGGGAGCCATGGCTGTCACAACAGTCTAGACTTCAAACATGTCGGCCTTTGCACACCTCCATTCCATAGTGGATTAGAAGATTACAAAATAAATCAGGGGGTGCCACCTCAACACACCAGCTGTTGTGGAACTACAAGTCCCACGAGGCATTGCAAGACTCTGACAGCCACAGACATGACTCCCAGAGGCAGAGATATGAAGGGATTTGTAGTTTCACCAAATTGCCTACAGCTGCAATATACATATATACAGTATAAAATATATATACATATATATTACAGGTATTTATATAACACTGACAATTTACACATCAGTCCCTGCCCTTGAGGAGCTTACAATCTAAGGTCCCTATCTTGCATGCATACAGGGCCAACTTAGACAGGAGCCAATTAACCTTCCAGCGCGTCTTTGGGGTGTGGGAGAAAACCCACCAAACACAGGGAGAACATGCAAACTCCATGCAGATAGGGTCCTGACCGGGATATGAACCGGGGCCCCTCAGTCCTGCGAGACAGAAGTGCCACTATATAAGGTTGCTTGTGCTTTCTTTTCAGCTCACAGGAGGTGACTAGGGTTTAGGATATTCACTTGGGTTTTTATGTATATTATATATGTGTGTGTGTTTATATCTAGGATTGTGATCTAGGATTTAATTCCACTTTAAAAGAATTCCTTGGGACAATTAAACTCACAGAAGAAATGTCTATGGCCCCTGTCCCAGCTGTTTAGCAAGTCCTATCTAAAAGGGAAGGGAATTATTTGGACAATAAATAACAAACTCTTCCCCCACAAACAATATGCAGAAAGGGAGAGGCCTATGTTAATGGGATTGATAAGATGTTTGGTGGTGATTACATATAAACAATGCAATTGGTGTCAGACAATAAAGGTGCCCATACACTGCACGATTCTCGTACGAGAATCGCGGGAAATCCCGCGATCGTACGAGAATTGTGCAGTGTATGGAAGGCATGCAACCGTTTCTACTGTACAGTCGCACGTCTTCCGTCGAACCAACATGCTAGAAAACCCACCGGGAATCGTACGATTCTCGGCGAGTGAGTGGCCTGCTGGTTCGACAACTGCCAAACGGGCCGGTGTGCGCACGCGCACACTGCCCGTTTGCAGTCATCGTAAGCCCGCCCCTCATTAAGTCATCGTAAGCCCGCCCCTCATTACAGTCATCATAAGCCCGCCCCTCAGGGGGGCGGGCTTGCGATGATCGAGAGTACGATCTGCCTGTCCAAGATGGGCAGATCGTACGTTTTTTTAAGTACTTTACAACCATCGCAAGACTAAGGTCTTGCGATGGTTGTAAAGTGTATGGGCACCTTTAGGCAAGTGATAGCTGAAAGCATTTCAATGGAGATGCAATTTTAGTGAATGAGAAAAATGGATATATCAAGGAGAGACTGAAATGGGAGAAGGAGAGAAAGGAAGAGGGAGGGAGAGATGGTATAGAGAAGGGTACTTACTGGGAATCTTCATTAATTTACTTTATTGTATCATTACTCTGTTGGACTGTTCCTGTTCATCTACCTTTTGTTGGATTAAACGCTACTCTCTGGAAAAGAGCTGAGGTTGCCTGGATTTTCACAATGCATATAAATATAAATACATATATTTGGGTAGATATATATTTATACTTCCCACCATATATTACTACACTACATAGGGCACTGCATTTCTGGCAGGATCAACAGGTATTTTCTCTATTTGCTGAACATGTTATTAGCCTAAAAAAAAGAAAACAAATGCAGTCACCTCATCTAAGGACTGCTGAGCTGCAATATATTACATTTGTGGGTTTAGATATACTTTAGGTTTGTAAAATTCACTTTTTGATGCCTGAAATGATTTCTCCAGGTGTCTGAGCTCGGTCTGCTGACATCATAGCTGAGTGTATACTGTCTGTTGACCTCCCAGCACCTAATCAATGAGGGACGTGAGATGCCCCGAGATGCAGATTTCGATTTGTCAAACGTTTTTGCTCATTTGTAATCTTTCCCTTCTTCTCTTTGCAGCAACCCGTGCAGATTCGTCCTGTCTTAGCCTGATGTGAAATTTCAGATGGTGTGAATGGGAATCTATTAAGAAGGTAATGACACTAGCTGTAGGAATTCTGGAATAAACATATAATAAATGATTTTCTTGCATTTTCTTTGTATCTGATGTTGCAGGTTGCTTTTTACTTCCATGAATAAGGGCAGAACCTATATAGGGCAATTCCACTTTCCCGGGCAAATTATGGAAAATGGAATCACCCCCATCAGACGGCCACCTCTACCCCACCTTGCTGCTCTTACCTATCAACAAACGCTCCTCCTAACCCCCCGTGGCTACCCGTCTAGGACCCTTACACCATACACAGCAGCACAACACTGCTCTAGGTATCTTAAATTCAGCGGCGAGCATTGGTAAGCGCGGTCAGAAGAGCTTCTCATTGGTGACCACACTGACCAATAAGTGTTCGCCATTTGCAAGCCGAATTTAAACCATTGGGTTGTGCTGCCGTGCACAGGTCCTACAGCATCAGCCAGGAGCATTAGTTGACAGGAAAGGGGGGG